CATAATCGCACAGGGTGTATACTGTCGCCGCAAAGCGGTCCTTTCACATTACTTCAAAAGTGGTGCTGCTTCAAACAGGGAAATGACAGTGGGCAGTGTGGTGCATGAACTTTTCCAGGTACAAATCTTTCGCACCCCTACAGTGATTTATGTTAATGGGCCGGGATGTATAATTGGCAATATTTTCAGATTGCTGTTACTCGGTCCGACTTTCAAGCTACTGAAACCGGCTTAATTGACTTATGGCGAAACGAGCTTTATCCGCAATATGTTGAACAACTTCTTGCCTTAAATCTCTCTGCTGAAGAGGTATGCTTTCTTGTTTTCTGAGGATTTACTGAATTGTTGACTTATTTTTTTTTTTGCATATTTCAGATCGAAGAGGATGTAAGGCCATATCTCGGGTCGATCGTGCGCTGGATCTCGGCCTACATGCCTCCACCATTAGGCCGCCATGAACAGCTGCAAACGGGTTCAACAATCAAGGAGGTGGTAGATGTTGAGGACTCTCTCTGGAATTCTTGTTACGGCTTCAAAGCTAAAATTGACTGTACTTTGAAGGTTGCTGCTTTTTATTTTTTTCAAGCGCAGTTCAACACTTTTTCTTTGCTTGCTTATTCCTGATAAATCTCACAATCCCGGGATTTCGATGGCGGAGGCATCAAAAGATCTGCGAGTCTGCTGGCAAAATTTTCATTTACGCGATAAGACAGCCTGCTAGTGCCTCTGCGAGGATGTGTACGAGAACTGAGTCTAGAAATGCTTGTAGTCTTAGTAAAGTGCGTGTACAATCGCAGAATACCTAAGATCTCCAGCAGAGGGCAATATCGAGCTTGCGTTGAACAGCATACTCGGAAAACTTGTAGCAACTGTTAATTCGTCTGTGCGGAGGACGACTTTTGCGTTACTCTGACCAGTGCGACATCACCTGCTGGTCAGTCCGCTTCGATTCCGACGTACGCTTTTTCTCCAAAAGGATTTCAAACTCAGCGGCCTTCTTTATAGAAGCTCAGGCAAAGTCTTAGCTTCCTCGAAATGTTCTCGGTGTGTGTTGAGCATCACCATCTCGTTCCGACCACTGCCATTCCTAGACAGGGATAAGGTATCTTGCCAACTTGGAGCAACATGTTCTTTCAGAATTTTTTTCTCTTCTGGATCGGCTTTCTGCAGATCTGAAATCGCTTAAAGCTGCAGTTCTGCACTACGATTTTTATTATTTCAGAAAGGCGCATAAAGCGAAACCAAAGTTTTAAATAAACTTTAAGTCATAGTAGGTCATCATAGTGATTCCGTCGGTTTCGAACCCAGCTTGCTGGGTTTTTGGGTTACCTGCTGAATTTACTGGAATATTGCTTTTTAAAAATATTCCGGCATATAGAAGTAACTGCAACAAACTTCATGTACTGAGGCACTTGTTTTCGAACTGTTATTTCACAGTACCACTTTCTTATATGTTAAGGGTGTTTCCGTTGTAG